CACAACATTATAAATCAATGATACTTCAATAAAAAAATATTTTTTATAAGCAAGCAAAAGCAGAGCAAGTTTGGAGAGCTGCAGACTGTTTGTTATAACTAGAGCACACATTTCACAAGGTAGAGAAAGGTGATGAGCTTAACAAGTAAACACCAGCACACCTTTCCTTTAAGCCTGTATGAAGCTCATGGTGGAACCTGTCACCTTGTAACTTACTTCATCAAGATTACAGGACTCTTTCCATGAAATAGCCCCCATGTTGTGTTTTGGATGTGTTTGAACTTTTATTTTGTTTTGTATTAATAGATACAACTTTTTGCATAAGATTTCACCTGCTTAACAACCCTTTATTAAAATTCCAGTGAACAAATGAAGAGGCAGAAAAACACACCAGAGGCAAAAACCTATTGGCACTCTAGTGTCAGAATCTAGAAAGACTCTCCACTAACTATAAACAGAATCTGGGAACATGAATGAGTCAGCTCCCCAGGCTTTGCCCTGCCTACTTAGAAGAAGTGCAGAAGACAGAAGATATTTTGTCCCTTCACCACGGCCTTCTGCTTGACTTGGAGGCCCAAGTCTTATCCAACCAGAGCAGGACATAAGGTGCTACTTTCTTCAGTACTGAGTACTATTCCTTTCTCTCCTTCCTTTACCCAAGATTACACACCCACACATTTGCCCACACACTGCTTTTCTATACCGATGCAGAGAGCAAAGATCCCAGGAATAACAGAGCAGAAAGTTGGGGTGAAGAAGGCAGGAATGGCTAAACCTGGCTGCAGTGTGTGATTCTGGTGTAATGTAATTCCTGGAAATGTAAAGTCACTTGGTTTTGAGCAGAAGGAGGAGGTCCCTGGTATTTGCGTATGCTGAGGAGAATGTAAAAAATTAAACAGAAATCTCAATTAAGTAGAGTTAGGAGACCAGAGGAGGGAGCTCCTATGCCGTGATGGCAGCAAAACCCAACAGGAAGAAGAAAGACTCCTCCTGTTCCCTGGCAAGTGTCCCACAGACCCTTTCTTTACTCTAGCCGTCCCGATTCCCTTTTCCTCCCTACTAAAAATGTCCTCTTTCCCTTGTTGTACAGGGACTAGCATATGGCTCACCATGGTTGCAGACCACAAGTTGCCATTCTCTGCTGATCCTGAGTAAACCCATCTTTGCTGGAGAAACATCTGTCAGTCTGTTTGTTTCAGGCCAACGAGTGTAGTCATTGTGGCACACTACACCAATGTAGTGTCTGATACCCAGCAGGTGTGGTGAAAAGGTCTCACCTTGAGGTGGTCCTAACTGAGGGGGCTGAGAAGCACCAGGCATTGGTGGAGGTTGTCACTCACCCCTTGACTGAGACGCTGAATGAGCAGGGAGTAGGGCCGAGGGGAATCTATGCAGTTCTGTTGGGTTGTGCTGAACATAAACAGTTCCTCATCAGATACTGAATAAAGAGAAAACCCCAACCTAGGAGGCCTAATTTTTAAAAAGACTGCGCAACATGGAGCAGTAATCACGATCTTGCAGACTCCAAATAACAACAAACTTTTGAAAACGATTTGCTGTAGAAGCTGGAAAACATTTAGAAAGCCATTGGTGTTCTCTATAGAACGTAAGGAGCCGTGTCTCTATTGGAATGAATTGGAAAGTAATAAGCATAATGAGATTAAAAAGCTATTAAAAGGAAATTATTAAAATGAACAGAAGAAATTAAAAGGAACTTGAAGTATGGATAGTTTCAGGCAAACTGAAATTTTCACAGCAGAAAGAAGTAAACAGGATTGCAACTATGTTTGGTGATAAATGTTAACTAGACTTAATTGTGATCGTTTTGCAATACAGGGACGTATAGAATCATGTTGTACACCTGAAACTAAGATTTTATATGTCAGTTGTATCTTAATTTTAAAGTTATGAGACAATCAAGGAAATCTGAATATTGCTAGATACTTTATGTTAAATGTTTAGGTCATTTTCTATGAAGTGTCAGATAATAAATATTTTAGGCTTTGTGAGTCTGTAGTCTGTTGCAACTACTCAACTATGACATTATACCCTGAAAGAAGCCAAAAACAGTGTATGACAAATGACTGTGGCTATGTTTTAATAAACAATTGTTTACCACCCCCCAAAAAGGTAATCAGAAATCAATAAATAGCAAAATTAAAACTAGAGAAAATCTAGGGCAGAATGTCAAACTCGATCAGTTTCCACAAAGTCTAGAGAAAAAGAACAGAGAAGAAAAGAAGAAAGGATAGTAGAGATACAAGAATAAGAATGGAGACTGAGCATAAGAGGCCTTGGCACGGTGGAATGAGAAACAGAAGAATTGGACAAGAAGTAAAACCAAAAGTCACAACTAAACAAACTTTGCAGACATGGGAAAAAAGAAAAAAAAAAAACAAACCAAAAACCTCTGTGTACGGACTGAAAGGCTTCACTGTGGTCCAAGATAAATTAAGAAAAACATGTATTTATGTCTAGCCTGACAAAACTGCTGTGTTACAGAGACGAAGAAAATCATTTAAGGATGCAGGTCAAAACAATATAAAACTAAATCAAAGCAAACAAAGGGAAAGAAAACAATGATAAATGAACCCAAATCAGACTGACCTCAAACTTCTGCAATAATAAATATCAGAAGACACTGGAGTTGAGTTCAGGGAATTCCAAAGAGGGGAAAATGTAGCTGAAACCAAGTTACGCTGCATCCCTGTGTGAGGCCGTGGAGTACAGCAGCGCAGGACTTGGATCAGACAGTCAGGTGTTAAATCCTGGCTGCCCCATTGATCCGTGTGGCCTTGGGCAAGTCATTACTTGTCTCACAGGATGACTTGTTTTTCTCACTTATATGAGAGAATGCACACAAAGGACCCAGAACACTTGCTAAAGGCCATTTTAACTTAACCAATTTGGTTGAAGTTAGAATTTGAACTCAGAACCTGCCAGAATCTAGAATCAGGCTCACAGACCTCGTTCTCCAGTCCTGACCTCTCTCACTCAGCATGGGGAGTTTGGCACCCACTTCTGTGATTAGAATTATAGTGTCTGTTATGGCAACAATAGCCCATTCTCATATTTAAGTTGTCAATGTTTCTAAAAGGTCCTAGAGTAATTAAAAAATATGTAAGGAAGAAAATATATTAGAAGGATCTTAAGGATTTCATTGGTCATCAGGAAATACCCAAGTTCAATACTTAGAACATTTTCCTGCAATTTCTTTCCCCTCCTATCAGCAGACATTCAAGAAGTGGGAGGAGAGTTTCTGACGCCATTTTGTCCAGATCCCTTATTGCATATTTGATAACTTCCAACAGCTCTGAAAAAATAAATGTTATGCGCTGTAGAAGTATCAGTGGATCCATGCTCTTGTTTCTGGGTGGTTGTTGTCATTGTTGCTCAATGGATCAGAAGATGCTGTAGCCATGAACTTGACCCTCCTAAGAGGAGGGAGTTGCAGGAAGCGCAGAAGACGGGAGATGCTTCTACTGCAGTTCCTTACCAGATCTGTGCCACTATCAGATCTTTGTATGCTTATTAATATTTCTTAAGAGTGCTACTTCAACTTTCTTTTCCCCGCCTAGCCCTTCAGTAGCTGATATAGCCATCAGCTTGTGACTCTGCATGCCTGTGCCTTATCTATTCTTGTCCCCAAAGTAACATGAAGCTCTGGAGGTCACATTTTCTATGCTGGCCAAAGAACTTTTCTTATTTGTGATGCCACGTATAGGAAAAGATTTATGAGATATAAGCAAAACAAACTAGTTAACATGTCTAATGAATTGTTTTCATTTAAAGAGAATAAAATCACAAGACATTAAAATTCTTCTAGAAAACCCAGGACGTAGACTCACAACTGTATCTTTATATTTTCTTGACTCCTAATGGGCAAAGAGGTGATAAAAATTCTTATCAGTTGCAACTTGGTTGCTAACAATAGAAACTGCCTTTGGCTAACTTAAGCAAAAAGAAATATTTTGAAAGGATATGGAGTTACACACAAAGTTAGGGGAAAATGAAACTTGAGGAAGCACCAGAACCAAAAATTAATGAGAGAAACAGAGAGAGAGAGAGAGAGAGCGGGACAGAGGGAAGAAGGCAGGAAGGGATGGATGGGGAAAGTGATAGATAGACTGAGATTTCTTAGACAAGGTGGGTCACAACATTGGCGAGGAGAGAACATGGGACATTGACTGTAGCCCATTCCCCAGAGAAACATATTTATATATAAGGGGAGAATGGATGCTGAGCAAGCAAATATTAGTGATTTTCACTACCAAAGTGTTTTTAAACTACTTGTAAGTTTTAAATAGCTCCCGATTGTCACATGCCCACATGTTGCTCAATGAAATTTCTGCTTGGGGACTTCACTAAATACTGTCTATTTGCACTCAGCATCCATTTCTATCCCCTTCTGTTCTTTCCTGTGTTGCAATACTTCCCAAGGAGTTTTGGAAATGCTCTTTTCGGCCTTCCCAAGTATGGGAAGTATTTTGGAATTGATTTAATTTCCATCATTGAGAGGCAATTGCAGGAGATTTGAATGACAGGAAGAATGGGGAGAAGGGCAGTGATATTTTAAGTATTTATTATTTTCCTACAGCAGTAGTAACTTCAGGCATCAGTTTTTCCAGTGGCCAGAATGCACTTCGCACTGCCTAGTTGCCAAACTCAAGGTCGGGGGCACCTGAGACATCAGCCAGAGTTCCCTGCGGTTCCCTGGATTCCAGACCATCTGCTGAGGCCTAGCCCTTAGTCTAGCAGCAAACGCTAACCTCCATTCTACTACTCCTGCCATAATTTTGTGGGTACCTGATTTCCTATATTAAAGCCATTTCTAGCAGAGACACCTAAAGTAGTTTCTGTTCCCTTCATTGTACCCTGAATGATACAGGCATCAAAGACGCCTTTAACACCACTGTCCATATAAACTTTAAGCTTTGTTACACATTCTTCCAGAGCTTCCGACATTGATCCTCAGTAATATGTTTCCTTTTCTTGCACAGATGGCAGAATTTCGTTGAGTTGTTGAGCAGAGCTTCCTCTGATTTATCATCTGATTTGCCTATAGGTGAGTTTGGTTATGTTGTTCCTGAGAGACCTCCCATTTCCCACAGCTATTGTTGACTCTGTGGCTTAGCCCTGATGGTTTCCTTGTTGGGTTTCATCTCATTGCTCCCAGAAATGTAAATGGCTCTCCAGTGAAGAAAAAATAAAAGTGAGGATTGCCTTAATGGCTATTCTTTTAGGTCAGCTGGATCAAAAAAGGCATAATTCTCTAAGTTGTATCATAAAGCATTCTTCAGTGATAGCCCTTTAAGATAGATATAACACACTTGTACAAGAAGCTGATACCATTTATCAGAATTTCAGTTGCACAGTCCATTAGACCTAAGAATCCCACAGTTAGGTACTTATCCTACTGATATCTCATCAAAAAACTCTCCAAGATTTATATATATGTATGTATATACACACACATATATATATATATACATATATATATACACATGCAATTTTTTGTACATGTTTTTAAAAGTGTAAACAATGAAAAGATCCTTCAAGAACTATTTAATTAAATTACATCATATTCAATTGATCAACGATGCAGTTGTAAAATAACATGCTGGCCTGGTACAGGAAGATTTCCAAGACATATTATTAAGTGAAATGATAAAGATGAATTGGGCAAAATATTTAGCAATTAGGAAGTGCTAATTATGACAGGTGAAAAAATATGCATTCATATTAATCTGTTGTTGCAATTTCTCTATTTACTCCATCAACCATTTAACAATTACTCTTTGGATCAGAATGCAAAGTACTGAGAGTTTGAGGGGGGTTAGTATATCAGTTTGCATTCCAGTGGAAAAGCAGAAACCTCACTAGGTATTTCAAACAGAAGAAATTCATAGCAGGGGATTGAGGGATTGGTTATATCAATATTGGAAGACTGAAAGAGCAAAAGAGGATGGTGAGTGTATTCACTTCTCCAGGACATTGGCCTAACAAAGTGCTATAAACCAGGTGGCTTAAAATAACAGACATTTCTTCTCTCATGTTTCTGGATCTAGAAGTCTGAAATCAAAGTGTCGGGAGGGCCATGCTCCCTCTCAAGACTGTAGGAGGGAATCCTTTCTTGCCTCTTCCAGTTTCTGGTGGCCCCAGGCCTTCCTTGGCTTATGGTTGCATAATTCCAATCTCTTTTGTCTTCATGTGTGGTCTTCTTCCCTCTATGTCTCTTGGTGTCTCTGCCTCTAAATTCCCCTTTCCTTTTTTGTACAAAGACACTACTGTTCATTCAATTTCAGGCCCACCCTAATCCAGAGTGACACCATCTAACTTGATTGCATGTAAAAAGACCTTGCTTCCAAACAAGGTCATGCTAACAGGTTTCAGTGATACCTGTGTTAGGGGACACAATTCAACCCATGACCATGAGGTAACCCAGAGATTAGTAATTGTAGGAAGCAGATACCATCCTTAGGGCAGAAAGTGTACTATTAGTAGAATCAAAGATCTCATAGAGTGATTGTGAGTCTGGCAAACAAACAAAACCAAACTTTAGGCAATATTACTGCTCTGCAGAGCAACAGGAGTGTGGTGGTGCTGTTGTTGCGTTGTTGTAGTAGACTGTTACTTACTGAGAAAATGTCTTGATCTCTTCCCATTTGTACATTACTATCAAGATGAACTATGATGATTAAATGCTCTTGGGCACTGCATGGGCCATTTATTTGCTTGTTCTCTAGCCCCACAGATGAGTGTAATGAAAGGGAAAAAGGGGGCATTATAAGACACTAAAGACAGCTACTCACTTTGGATGTGCAGAATTATGAATTTTCTCATTCCTGGGGCCCTTTTCACTCAAAGATTCTATGATAACCTGATTAAAATTATTCATTTATATATATATAGTCTCATATTATGAACATTATCACATTTAGAAGCACAAAAATCCTGTGAACTTGTTTTAAATGTCACATAAATACTTAATATCTTTGATTTAGACTAAGGATAGAATGGACTTGGCAAAATCAACTAGACTATATAAAGTATGAAATAATATTTCTTTGAAAACTATTATTTGGAATTCAATTTGCACAACCAGACAGAAGGGAGGAAAAATCACTCTGTGGAAGAAGTTAACATCTCATAAAATCTCTATAATTATTCATACAAAATGTCCAGCATTCAATTAGAAATGATCAGGAATGACACAAAACAGGGCATGGATTTTCAAATAACTGTAATTAATATGTTTAAGAAAATAGATAAGATGGAGAATTTTGAACAAATAATTTGAATCTATAAAAGGAACCAAATGGGATAGCTAGAACTAAAAAAATGCAAAAACTAAATTAAAAAAAAACTCAGTAGAGGGGTTCAACAGAAGATTGGGCATAGCTGAAGAGAGGATCAGTGAACTGGAATATTGTTCAGTAGGAAATATCCAGGTTGAAGCATGAATAAGAAAAGACAATGGAATATGCAAAAAAAGAGTATGTAAGAGACATACAGGAAATGGTGACAATATCCAACATACATGTAGTGAAGTCACAGAAAGATGGGAGGAAGAGACTAGAGCTGAAGCAATATTTGAAGAAATTATGACTGAAAATTTTCCAAAAGTGATGTATTATCTCAAGCCACAGATCCAAGAAATGCTATAAACTCATATGAAGACAAATAAAAAAGACCTTGGTCCCCTCCCAGCATGGTGTGTTCTAAGGTCTTAATATTTTACAAAAATGAAGTGTGGCTCCAACTTTGAATCTCTTCACAAGGGAGCCTATGAGTGAGGGAGAGGAAGAGGAAGAAGCAGGAAGCCAGGGATAGGGTGCTGCTGATGGGGGAAGTCGGGAGTGTTGATGGTAGCCTCAGAGGTTCACTGATCCCCTCAAATGTTTTCTGGAAAACCTATCACTGAAGACAATAGAAAAATAGCTAAGAATTTAATCTCCCTTTTATTCGGGAAAAAAAATCCATAGTAATTTCTAGTTAGAACTACCTATATTGAAGTGACAGAAAAAGTCAACTCAATTGGTTCAGACAACAAAAATATTTGGTTTATGTAACTGAAGAGTCTTGAAGCATCAAGAGCTATAGACGTGGTTTGACTTCGCCATTCGAGTGTCAGATCAAGAACCTGCTCTCTCTCTGGCTCTCTGGTTGCCTGATGTTGGCATCATTTTCAGCCTCTAAATGTTGGTGTCCCAACTTCTCTGGGCACTCCTCCTGTAAGAGCAAAATAGCTCTGCCAGCTAAGTTCATCCCATCTTCACAGCACTCTCTTTTGGGAGGTCTTGCCAAGAAGGAGAGAACTTTACTAGCCAAAAAAAAAAAAAAAAACCAAAACACCTGTCACAGATACCGCCTCTCTTCTCAGAAACTCAGGTTGAGTTTCATGTCCATCTTTGAACCAAGACTGCATTTCGGATATCATAATAGTCTTCAATTAATTGGAAACCAAGCTTGGAGCTGGAAATGGGGGTCATCCCCACCAAACCACAGCACTGAGATAGGGGAGGGGTGGTCCCCACAAAGCAAAACATAGTTGCTATCACTAGAAGCGGGTAATGGAGGGTCACACACATAGCCTGTAAGCCCCTTTAGTTCTGTGAATACTTAACCCACTTCCCTTCCCTCTTCATCCGTGTCAGCTAGGCTCTTCCCTCAGCTATTGCTTGAATGCACTCAGCACTCCTCCCTCCCTTGAGGTCTTCACCCTTGTGATAGCTTTTTCCTGGATTGCTCTTTCCCCAGACATTCACAAGGCTTTCTCCCTTGTTTCTCCACTCAGGGCTCTATTTTATGTTATGTTATGTTATGTTATGTTATGTTATGTTATGTTATGTTATGTTATGTTATTTTTGTATTGAAGTGTAGTCGATTTACAATGCTAGTTTCAGGTGTAAAGCAAAGGGATTCTATTATACATACACATAGATACATACATACATATTTTTTTCAATTTCTTTTCCATCACAGCTCATTACAGGAAAACAAACATAGTCCCCTGTGCTATCCAGTAGGTCCTTGCTGCTAATCCACTTCACATATAGTAACATGCATCCATCTATTTAAATGTCACTTCAGAGAAGCCTTTGGCGAATGCTCTAAGATAGCAACCGCCATTCCTTCCTCCGCCCACGGTTGGCTTCAGTTGTGTTTCTGGCGCTTGCCACTACTTGATATTATTTGGCGTACCTATCTGTCCTCACCACTGGAACGTGCACTCCAGGAGAAGACTCTGCCTTGTTCGTTGTTGTGTCATAATAAGCACTTAGCACATGTTTGTAGAATGAGCGCACGGGTTAGAATCCCAGCCTTAACCCTACCTCTTGTCTCAGGCAGGTAGCTGAAACTTTCATTGCCTCAGTCTCCTTACCTGTCAAGTGGAGATTGTTTCTACCTCACAGGGTGATTCTTCAGATTAAGTAAGGAGACTTGTGGGAAATGTCTAGCATATATAGATATTTGGCATATATTTGTTTCCTTTTCTCAAAAGCTGCATCCAGTAGATCCAACGAGGCCAGATTCTTTAGTTAAATCTTTTATTATCTTCACTTTAGAGTTGATTACCTGGGAATTGTTTAGAAGTCGCAAACTGGTTTCTCACCCCTAGAGATTCTGATTTAATTGGTCTGGTGTGACGCCTTGGCATTGGTAATTTTTAGTAGCAAGTGCTGAAGACCACTGATTTCAAGACATTAGTGGGTGTTGGGGTGAGATGGTAGGGCTGGCTGTGTGTAACTCTCCAAATCCACTGAGAGCCCTGTAAAACCTGGCCCTTCCAACACCTGGAAATCTCTAGAAGCTAGCTTGGCGTATTTCCTCCAGTACAAATCTTCAACTGGCAGACTAGGAAGATGGTTATTATTTATCCTTCCTGCTGTGTTAGAAAGAAAAAAAAAATCAGATCTGCTTCGGGTTTCTCAGTTTTCACATGTGCAAACCGTTACCTTTTGTTAATATGCTTATAGGCATTAGGAGGGAGAAAGGGAAGCTTAGAAGAACAGGGAGACTGGGATGCATTTTCTCCTAATGAAACTTTTACTGTGCAGACGGTAGAGAAACGGAACCGGGACAAACTCTAGGTTCTAGATCTTACAGTAAAAAGGATTGTGCATGTAAAAATAACCTGGCACATCATAACTAATGTAAGGTCCTCTTTTCTGGGGAAACTAGACTTGCTTAAGATCACATGCCAACAACACAATAACAAATAATAGTACCTTGTATTAGGCATCTCTCCTATGCTAAGCATTTTATGTTGGTAATTTGTTAAAATCTTCATAGTAGTATTGCAAAATGTGATTATCATTCCCTTTTCATATCTGCCAAAATTAGGATCTGAAAGCTTGCAGCTGGTAAAGGGAAGCATCTGGATTATAGTATCGATCTGACATCAAAGTTCATCTTCCAGCCCTTGTGCTATACACCGCTGCCATGCACTGCTTCTGGAGTCCCTTTAACTCTCAAGCTCTGTGATTCAGAATTTGAACCTTTTTTTCCACCTGTAGTAAACAGCTTTCCTTTCACATACTAAGTGAAATAAGCATGAGCAGTGCCACTCAGTGACGATGGGTTCCCAAGACAAATTTTTAGCAGATTAAATCAGATCTGCCTCGAAGGGGCTGCTTTAACTGGCCACCATCATGGTCCTCAGTGAGCAGCCATTAAGTTTTCTTCCATAGCATCTGTTTTAGGTATGGGAGGATAAAGAGATGCAGAGAGAAACCCCTCCTCTCACAGGGCCGGACAAGGAGTTGCAGAAACGAAACGGAACAGAACAGTGACTTTGTTTTCCAACATCCGAATTAGGGCACGTGGTCATTCATTCATACAGGCAACAAACATGCATTGAGTACTTATTCTAATGATGGGTGCTGGGGCTTCAGAGAAAATTATAATATCACATTGCTTTCTCCATCATAAAACTGAGGGGAAAGATTCATAATGAGTTGTAGGTGCAGAGTTAAAGCTCTAACAAAGGCTTTTTAATCCAATATATGAATTTATATAAATATCCTTACATAGATAGCACTATTAGTTAACATTTATTGAGTACTTGCTGTGCTCCAGATATTCGCTTTACATTTTCTGATCCATTTAATCCTCATAATAACCTCGAGGTGGCTTTCTCCCCATTTTACAGAAGTAGAAACTGAGACACAAAAGGGACAAGTACCTTGCCCTAGGTCATGCAGCTAATCAAGAGAGGAGCCAGGACTCAAACCCAAGGCTCTGGCTTCAGAGATTCTATAACTACGTCACACTATTGCCCTCTACCTTTTGTTTAAAATTCATTGATTGAACCATTTTATTGAAAATAGTGACAGCCAACTCAGAAACAATATGTATTTGTTAATGGCATATTTGAATTGTGCACCAATACTGAGGCTGAAGCTCCCAGAAATCTGTGCTGTGTAATCACATGGATTTGCACAATAAATGAATAAATCTCCAAGTCTGATGGCAGGTGCTGAGCGATCAATGAATGATCCCCATAATAAGCCATGGAGGATGTCAGCTGGAGGGCTTCATGTCTTTTTCCTGCATCCTAAGGAAATTTCTTCTATTCATGAAGGCAGCAGCCTGAGCAAGTAGTACCTGGGCATAGGATCCCCTGGGTTAGGGATGCTGTTCAAACCTCTTCCCATACAGGACCTCTGACCACTGAAAGGAACCAAGAAGGGAGAAGACAAAGGTTTTACCTGATCCTTCAAACCTTAGTGGAAAGGGTGGCAGAAGTGCCTGCTTCTGTAAGGCTGGGCCACGGGAAGAGGCTCCTTCCCACGCTCCCAACTGTCAAGACCCTCCTGATTCAGGGCAGTTCTCCAGGCTGATGTCTGTGCTTATCTGGCACTCGCTGCTCCATTCACATGCCCACCATCACCTTTGCCTGGAAACTCCTATTCATCCTTTAGATGCCCACTTTAAGTGTCACCTCCTCCAAGAAGTCATCTCTGATCCTCCACCACTCATACCCCTAACCCAAAAGAACTTGAAATATTTTCACATTTTCCTTTATTGTTTTTATGGTAGTTTGTAATTAAATAACAATACTGAGTGCTTATTTAGCATTTACCTCCCCTTTGTGAGCTTCATCAGGGCAGAAACTAAATCTTTCTTGTCCACCGGTGTGTCCCCATCACCTAATACAGTGCTAACCACATGGCAGGGTCTCAAGATTTTCTTCGCCTGGGTGTATATGTGGATGTGTTAACATGAAAAGGCCAAACTAAAACCATCTCTTTTTTTCTTGTCCAGGAAAAAAAGGAAAGGAAACCTCTGCCACTCCAGTGCATCCTGAAGTTCCTGAGATTTCTCAATGCAAAACTGTACGTACGGTACGTGGCTAGCTATACAGAGCTCGGGGAAGGGCCTGACCAGTCCCTCGCCATCTATTCTCCGGTGCTGGGTGGGGTCTGCCCTTCTGGGTTTTTTATTTCCTCCCAACACCTTGATGTCAGACTGTCTTTGACTTTAAGCCTCCTTTCCAGCAGTGGAGGGAGGCAGAAGAATCCGAGAACGTGGCAGGTACCTGTCCTCGCTGGTTTGCATGCAGAAACCTCTCATCACCACTCGGTGATGGGCTTGCCATCGGCTCCCAGAAGTTGAACCTGTAGCATGTGGGTGGGTGTCCTTCCAAAAGCTGGTGACCAGTCCACCAACTGCCATCAAAAATGAAGGGTGGTTATGAGACCTCTTATAACATCCTAAGTCCAGCTTCCAGAAACTGAGGGTGACCTTTTCCTCAGACATCACATTTTAAAATGTAATGGACTCTTTGATTTAAAAAAAAAAAAAGAAAGAAAATCTGGCAAGCAGTTAAAGATCCATTTTAATATTCCTAACGCTTAGCCAGGAGAAGATGCAGACAGAATTGAAAAACAGCCTGAGTTTTTCTGTTGTTGTTGTTTTTTAAATGCCCGGATTAGAACATAATTCATCTTAAAATGACGGGAGGCCTCTTTGTGCACTTCACACTTTGAAATATTTTAGAAAATAGTACCCATTTTGGCAAGCCTCTTGCCATGCAAGAAACAACAGCAAATGCTTTTCTCCTTGAGTGTTAAGTCTGTTGTGAATAAGATTATAAAAAATATATACTTTGCTCTTTTATTTTGCCTCTTGTCTGAAGATTTTGCTGTATCTCTGAAATTATTGATTCTTCTCAGATTCCTATTTAAGCAGCATTTGTTGTCCTACTTTTTAGAAAGGGGGATTGAAGCAGAGATTTGGTAAAGCCACTTTCCTATTGTCTCAGAGAAAATCATTCACTCATTCATTCACTTATTCAAAGTAAACATATTTTGAGAATGAGCCATGTGACAGTCACTAACCAGACCTTGAAGATACGTAAATGACTATTTCTCAGGCCCAGTCTCCAGATATCTGGGGGAGGGGAGAGATACTCTACCAGACAATTATAATATCCTGTGATAAGCACTGTGATGGCTAAAGGGGCTGCAAAGAATTGCCCCTCACCCAGCCTGGGGCTGTCAGAGAAGGCTTCCTGCAAGAAGTGAAATACAAGTGGGGTCTTGAAGGATGAGTAGGAGCCCAACACATTTAAGGCATAGGTGGCAAGAAGGGCTTTACAACAGAGGAAACAGTATGTATAAGGCTAGGCATAAAACAGCTTCATTTTTTTCCCCTGGTTTTGTGGCTAGAGAAAAGGATGTACACATTGAAAAAAGAGAAGCAAGAACAAGAACTTGAATGATCTTATGGGCAACAAGGAATCTGGACTTCATCCTGACACAGTGGGACCAAAACAGTATAGCATGGATTAGTTAGTTAGTTAGCCAGCTAGTTACTTCTTCCTTCCTTACTAGGTTGAGACTAATTCAGGCCCATACATATCCCCCCACTCCCTGTCTTTAGTAGTCAGAGTGTTGAATTATCTGAAGAAATATGTAAATAGTTAAAGTCAGTTGGTCAGATCCAAGGAGCGCCCTTTGAATTCTCTAAAATCATCCACCAACCTGTATGTAAATGTGCATTTATCTGGGTAGATTATCTAAAGTTTTCATTGGATTTCTACAGTGGTCCAAAGCTCTAAAAAGTATAAGAATCACTACTCTATCTACTTTATAAAAACTTCCAGCTTTTTCCAAAATTGATTTTTATCAAAGTAGAATTCTTGTATATCCTCTTAAAATACACTGGCTGCTGGTCATCCGTATGAGTACACTTCCATACAGCATTTTATTATTTCAAACAAGGCAGTTCTTCACATTCCCCAGCAGCAGCTGAATCCATGTTTGTTAACAAATGCAAAACATGGCCTCTTTATTGAAATTACTTTTCTTTAGAGCAATGAGATTTCCACAGTTTATATGTGAGAAGTTTGAGACAAGGTAAAAAATTGGAAAAATTCAGGTATTTGAAAGTTGGGAGAAGCACAGATGGTACACAAAGCTAGAGGGCTGCTTCTATGGCAAAGTAGTTAAGATTATTTGGACTGCAATGAACATAGCCAGCTCTACCAACTGAATTTATCAGAAGGATAGAGAAGCATATGTATATATCAGATCAAACAGAAGATGCTCACTCCCTCTACATGGTAGGTGACAGATGTTTGACGTGGCTCTACTGAGACTCATTTGTCTATTCTAAAACATCTCTGTATTTTTTACTGGACGTGGGGTTAGGACACCAGCATGAGCTAGACGTAACTCTACACCCTCATTCTAGTTTTGTGCCTGTCGTTAACTGTAGGACCTTAGTAAGTCCCTTCCCCACTCTGGACTCCAGCTTCCTTTGTTAAATGAACAGAACAGACAGAATGAAAGGTGCTTTGTGATTCGTTGCTATGAGCCCACAAGCCCAAGATAATATCATTATTATTTCAATCACTTTTTTGTCAAGAATCTCACACTCACGATCCAGAGATTCTCCCATCAAAACGTCGTCAGCATTGCCTGTGGATCCCACTAGTATAAAACATAGGAGGACATCATGGAAAGTCTTAGCCAGTTACCAGCGCTTGTGTGTGTGTGTGTGTGTGTGTGTGTAATCAGAAATGCAAACTGAATAAAAGCCACAATTTCATTCTTCTCTTAAAGAAAAAAGAAGACACTCAACATAGTAGTCTATATCCAGCAAGTCTTGGCCCATATGGTCCTGTGGCACTGAAGACTTGAGACTCACTAGACGTGCAGTAAACCTTGCTAGTTGTGTGTCCTCATCATAGGCCAAGAGATTGAGGAAGAATGTGTTGCCAGCAAGATCTTTGTGTTGTTTTCATAGAAAACTCCAGAAGAGGATTTGCAGCCAGAAAACCCTCCTGCTAAAACTTCAGCCCCCCCATATCCCCTGAGCCCTTTGAAGATGAGGCCAGTCTCACAGCCTTCTGTGAGTCCAGTGATGAAAAATGCGCCTGAGGAACGTGAGACGTGGATCGACAGGTTCAGGAAGCTAGAAAACGCCCTCTACCTCTGCGATCTGAGTAATACAGGTGAGGTGTGCGTCGTACGGCCCACACACCTTTCTATCTGTGTTGTAGGCTGAAAGCAGACGCCTCCCTTTTTGTCACTTCTTAACAAATACAGTTTGTAAATAAATCGTGTGCCTGGCACGTGCTGAGCACAATCACAAAACACAAAGATGAATCAGACGTGAATCCCCCACCAGGTTGCTTGCAGTTTCTCTGACTCTGACCCACAGTTCAATCTTGTAGTTCTCCTGATTGAAACCTTCAGCATGCCTGCTAACAGGCTGAACTCTGAACTCTTCAGCAAGGCAGAAGCTGGCCCCTGGCCACCCGACCAGCCTCTTCTCTTCCCACTGTAATTCTCTCAGCATATCCTAGGCTGTCATATCATAAGTTCCTCAAACATGCCTTGCTTTCTTCTGTGGCTGTGCCTCTTCTAACCCTGCGCCTTCCACCTGAGCTGTCTGCCTCTCCTCTCCCTACCCTACCTGTGCCAACTCCTCACCTTGTCCATCTGGCTAATCAGTGCCTAACATCTGTTATGTTGGAACTCTAGCCCTGCTCCTCTGAGACTCCCACGATTTCCCCAGTCAGATCCAGGCCAACCTTCACCTGGACTCTCATCATCATATGCGATACACTGTATGTTTCTATTTGGGACTTACTACTATCTACCAGTAGACTATATTCCTTTTTTATCCTGAGCACCTTGCACAACTCTACTCAATCTTTTTTTTTTTTGAGGGAACAAATAAATGAATGAATGTAAAGAAATAACTAAATCCAAAATAGAAGGTGATAAATGCCATGAAGTGTGCTATGTGAGCATTCAGAGAGAGGAGGCTTCCTTCCTAGCGAGGTGATCAGGGAAGGTTATGTTAGTGTGAAGCTGATCATTAAAGGTAAAGTACAGTTTGTGTACAAAGGAATAAAATAGAGGGCCCTTTCTGGCAAAGGTGCAGGTTAGCCAAGAAAAGCATTATGTGTGAAGCTCAATACAAGGAATTTGGTTTGGATAGAATATAACGGCTAGTAAGAAGAAGATTAAATGATAAAGGTGAAAATACAAGATGGGACTAGATCTAGGAAGAACTTCAATGACAGACCAAGGAATGTGGATTTAGTTCAAAGGCAGTGAGTAGCACTTTAAGCTTCTAAGCCGAAGAGTGGTATGATGAAGTTGTATTTCAGAAAGATCCTTGATGGCTGTGTGCAGAATGAAGGAGAAATTGAAAGCAGGAAAAGGATAAAGGATACTGTTTGGTGTCCAAGTGACAGAGAATGAAATGCAGAACTAGGTCAAGAAACTGTGGAATGGAAAAGAGGGAGCAGATACAAGAACACATACACTGAAATTGTTGTACTTAATTGTAGACTGTGGTCCACGAAGAGTTAGTGTTATATGTAGAGTCTAAAAGCCTGGAACACACAGAAGTGGTGGCTGTCAGGGTAAATGGGGAGATGCTGCTCAAAGGGTACAAACTTTCAGTTATAAGGTGAATAATAAGTTCCAGAGATTTAATGTACAGCATGATGACTTTTGTTAACAATGTAGTATTGTATACTTAAAAGTTGCTATGAGAGTAGAGCTTTAATGTTCTCACCGTAGTGACAGCAACAGCAAGATGGTAATTATTTAAAGTAAAGGATGTGTTGATTAACTTTATTGTGGTAAACATTTCATAATACATATGTGTATTTAATCATCACATTGTACACCTTAAACTTATGCAATGTTATATGTCCATTACATCACAATAAAAGTCAGTGTACACATTAGTACTTTCTAGAAGTGATCATGTAACAACACCAATGTCTTTTCATTCTCTCAGTGTTTTTGTTTCATTTTGCTTTGAATTTCCAATGCAACGTAATTCTAGACCACATGAAGTAAAAAGACCCTACCATACCCTAGGACTTGTAATAACTACACCAAAGAGAAGGGAAGATGAAAATTTTAAATGAAAAATTCATCCAGCTGAATGAGAAGCTCATGTATCAAACATATGCTATGAGCCCAGCACTGTGCTAGCAGCTGGACCAGGAGGGAGACCGGGGAGGATGAGACACGGTCTCTGGCCTCAAGGAGCTTTTATTTAAGACACAGAGACTGGAAATACCAATTCAATGCCAGTAAAACAAAATTTTTAAAGACAGAATAAAGTAAAGTGTTATAATTGAAAATACATAATAGAGTAAAGAGTCCAAAGAAAGGAGAGAAGAGATGCAGAGAAGCTCCTGGTCTAACGTGGGCTGGGCATTCCGAGAGGGCCCCCTGCAAGAGAGAACCTGAGCTGAACCTGGAGGAGAGGCAGGCTTGGGACAGCTGGATCGGGCATTCCGGTTCGAAACCGTCTTCTGCAAAGGCTAGAAGGTGAGAAGGAGCATGATGGGGAAGAGAGTGAGCAAGACAGCACTGGGGGTCATGCTGGATTGGACAGTGAAGCTGAGATCCTACTGTGAATCCTGAGGGTTAGGGTGAAGCTTAGTTCTCTACCCAGTATCCACCAAGGGTTCAACCAGAGAACACAGTGAAAACTGAGATGGATAATTTAGGAAAGATACTGGGGGAAAAAACAAAGGAGATCAAAAGGTTACTGAAGTAACCAAGAGTCTAAGTGTCCATATCAAGACTGTGAGAGTGGTGAGGGGATGACAGACAAAAACAAAACAAACCCAAAAATCAAGTGGGGAGAAAAGACATTTCTAAAGAAACAAATGCTGAGTTGTGATGACAGATGATAGATCATAAACTTAGTTGCTAAGAGACTCCCCAAAGACCAGGATCTTTCTCATACTTCTGAACTGTTCTGGGGGAAAAACAGTGTTTTGTTGACTTTGGGGCAGATTCCAGCAGATGTGAAATGCCTTTCTCATGGCCTTTTCACTATTTATGCCTGTTTTCTCTGTTTCTATGAAATTCATTCGTTCCTCAATAGCCAAAGAATGTGTCAGCCAGATCTGGAAACATCTACAACTGTCTGTAATGAGCAGAGAGGATTAACTGAGGTCATCTTGTTGGTTTATTAGCCCCAGCATTCGGCAGACCACCACGGCCCTCTCCAGACACTGAGCAGATGATCCCTACTTTGCGCACTGATGAATCAGATGAATTCTTTATTATGTGCAAGGAAATATGTAGGCCAGGGTGTTCTTCATCCAGGGTGACGGCAGAGCATCCATCACCAAATTAGCATTTCTGGGAACCTGCTCTATGCTTATGCTTTAATGGGGGTTGTCAAGAAAACATCCTTGAGGAGAAAGAATAAGGAAAGACTAAGAACAACTGGTCGTGTTTTTTAAAGAAAGATGGGTGGTTGGGATAAATGTTTAAGTGGCTGGTAGATTAGGGATTTTCCCAGTGAACTAAAGGCTAGATAGAAAACAGTTTCGAGTTCAAGGAGGCAGAATGCAATGGAAGTCCTCAAGGACCTTCTCTGCGTGGGTCTGGACGTGACTTACACTGCAGCGCTAGCTCCTCACATCAGCCACATGCCGAAGGGATTAATGTCCTTATTTACAGAAGAGAAACCAAACTCAAATCAATAAAATATCAGCCTGTGGAAAGTTAGGGCATCATTCTAACCCAGTTCTGTCAGACTCCCCATTATACCAGTCTCCCAGGATGTACCAGAAACAGCATGAGATTTTTCTTGTTGCTTTGTTTCTTTGTGTGTTTTTAACCAGAAGACTTAGATTCAAGTCCAGACCTTACCAACTGCTGAGCCCTGAAAACCAGTCACTTCACGTTCTCCAAGCCTCTTTCCTTGTCTATAAAATGGCACTGATAATAATGAAATATACCTCCCCGATTGGAAAGCGGTCCACTGAGATTTAAAAGTTCTTCGTAAACTGTGAAATGAAGTGGATAGTAAAGAGGTACTTCTTATTTCTTTCATTTTGGTTCTTGTGGGACAAAGATAGTCTTTCCAGCACTAAGATGCATGGTAAGCATTATTTTATGCAGCTGTCCTGGGCATCCCCTAATGACAGACAGCTAATTAGTCAGAGGCAAATCTCAGTCAGGGGACTTTTGTCTGACACTAGGAATCCTCTACCAATACTAAAGCTTAGAAGACAGAAGAAAAGGCCCTCCTACACACCAGTGGTGGTTCTTGGATGTATTTTTTAACATTACCTCTAATTTTTAATTAAAACATAAACTAAATTATATATATATTTAATAATGTATTCTAATTAAAAAATATTCTTATGCATTTTAAATAATGTTGATGATATAACTATTATAACCGTCCTATAATAATACCTGCATTAATGAGTGCTTTTGAGTTCCAGGCACTGTGCTAAGCACTTATTATTGTACTAATTTTTACACAATTTCATTATCCCTATTTTGAAGTCAAGGAAACTGAGGCTCAAAAAGTTAAAGTACCTTCCTCAATCAGACACTTACTCCGAAGCTCAGGACTTATATTTCCAGAGGTAGAGCATGAGGAAATGTCTTAAGGGATCCAACCTAGACCAGATCAAGAGCAGCCACCCAGTCGAGAAAACTGCAAAGATGCAGTTGGCCAAGTCAAAGAAAGGTACTTCTGCGGAGGAAAGGACAGGCATTCTAACAGGAGAAATAGACACCAAACTGAATGGAGGAGACAATTTAAAAAGTGGTCTGGATAGGATGGGATGGGGTGACATGGGATAGGATGGGGTGGGATAAGGTGGGATGGGAAGGGAAAGGAAGGGGTGGAACAGGACAGAATCAAATAGAACTGAATGGAATAAGTCAGATTAGGACTCCGCTGTCTGTAGTCCACTGCTAAGAACACATTAGAGAGTATCTCAAAGGGGACCATCACACTCAGCCATCCTCGCATATTTAAATACAGACAGAGCTTAAACAGAGACGAAAGGTGTCCACTAGAGCCCAGCTCTAATAAGCTGGCCGTGACTTTCTACCAAATGGCCCGGGGACCACTCCCTCTGGATTCTTTGAGAAAGAATGTCACAATCATTATTACAGTCTGCCCAAGGACAGGAGGATAGAAAAGCAACATAGAAGAGATGGGACTTTCACCCCTGCAAAAGATACGGTGTAGCGTAGACCAATTCAAGGAAAATATATGGGAAACAATCTGAGCCCTAACTTGAAACAGTCTCTTCCCCCTTGTTCTGTAATGCAGCCTAGTGGTTAAATGCATGGACCAGAACAACCTTGGGCAAGTGACTTACTATCTCTATGCCTCAGTTTCTCCCTCTGTAAAATGCATTGTTGTGAGGATTCAGTGAGTTAATACAGATAAAATGTTTGGTGGCAGGTGCCTGAGACACTGTATATGTTATTGTTGTTGCACTCTGGTTAATTTTCTGCATCTCTTATCACCCCAACTGGTTGAGGATCTTCCTAAGGTAACATACGGCTTCTCGAAATCCTCTGTATTCCCAGGCACAGTATTTAACACACATAAGCTTATAATTAGGGGCTTATGAATGAGTTATTTATCTTTGCTGACATCATGTTCTACACTTAAACTCCTCTTCAATTATCAAAATCCACTTAACCTTGGCGTGGAAAACATATTGGCACTGGAACATGAAACATGTGGGTACCGGAGTATATTGTCTGATGACATTCACCACCATCTCTATTACACAGAGTTAGACTCTGAGCCACAAGAAGTTAGATGATTTACCTGTGATCACACAGCTAGCTGGAGGGAGTCACAGTAAACACATGTCCAGAAATGCATAAAAATGAGCTGTTTAAATCCTGCATGTTTAGGAACACGTTTGGATACCACAATAAGACAAAAATAAAGCAGAGCAATTAGGAATTGTTTTTAGCAGGCAGGCACCCCCACCATTTTCAAAACTTGGCCTTTTAAAGTTTTATGGCTGCAAAGAAGAACTGAAATTGCTGGAGAATCTACCTATGGATTTTATTGGGCTCTGTTTCCTCTCCCCAAAAATCACTCTCAAATTTCTCCCGACATCTATGATGCATAGTCAGGACTGTAAATCTCTTTTTTAGGGTGCCAACTGGTTTTCAAGAAGCTTAAAATTACAAAGTATTAGCACTTACTTTTTGCTCAGAAGTCATTCAGGATAATATATTTTCCTCCTTTTTTCCCCCCTCCATCCTCTTTTAAAAACCTCCCACCCACCCAACCCGATGACAGGAGTCCTGGAGAAGGAACGGGCCAGACGCCTCATTCACAACTACAATCTCATTTACAACCTGTCTCTGAGCCCTCGGAAAATCGACCAAGCCTTGCGGAGGTTCCGTGCGGGAGGAAACACGCTCTTGGAGCCAGCGCTTCGGTACTTAAAGGAGCTATGATAACAAGCCCATATTGTGAGAGCAGATGTTCCCTTTATCTCGCTTTTTACCCGGACACGTGTTTCTCCCCAGCTCTCGTGCAGTGGTGGAGGCGCTGTCAGAGCGGGGCCAGTGTAGCTATCGCAGGCACTTTGAATTTGGACTTGGTTCCTGGCTATGATGCCCGCTCATGAGCAGCTCAAAGTGATCTGAGAAAACCAGGTTTTCTCTTCTGAGGTGGCAAGGATCCAATCTCTTAAAATCCCCTTCTATTCTTATAAAGCTGATTATGAATATTCCATGATTCTTTTTTTTCCCCTGTATTGCTGATCAAACTGTGTTTTTGTAAACCCTGCAATTCCATATAGTAAAAAACATGCTAGGTGTTGTCAGCTCCTAAAAATAGACACATAACAGACCTAAATACATCTTCTTTGGATTCGTAAGTCAGCCCCTTTCCTCTAGTCACTATTCTAGGAAGGATTTCTACATTGTAAGACAAATAAAAGTATTAATAATATATTATCTTAATACTAAGCAGTAGAAGCAGAATTTCAAGTAAGATTTTCTGAACAAGCCCAATATCTTCCCTAGTACCAAACTACATGATGTTACACTGTCCCCAGGGATATTTCCCAAGGTTTGAGGAGAGATGCCTGGGACAAAGGATTCTGGAAATAGGTAACATCGTTTGAGCTCTGTCTGGCAGGAAAATCAAGCAGAACTTTCTCATGGTTCCCATAGTTCTTCTGTTCTTAACATCCACCCCCTGCAACTTGCACCTCCCACACGATACCCACACTTAATGCACATCATACTACTCAGGCAGCGTGAGCTCATTGAAGGAAGAAGCCCAGGGCTTGAGAGACAAATGTGCTCCCAGGACCATCATTAATGCTGAGGGACTTGTATCTTGATTTTCAAATCTGTGTGGGAGACAGGATGAAGGAATCAGGTCAAAGGAAAAAGCACACAGAAAGGTCCCTGAGCATTTGCTTTTATCCATTTTATGTAGTGGGATGTCTCATAAAATCTTATGAATTAGACCTTAAGAAGAAAATAATTTGAATCCACTAACAGAAATGATCTCAAAGGACCTTCTAGTCTGACTTGCTCTAGTTTTTAGAATCCTTGAGTTGCCCAGAAAAAAAAAAAGGCTTTTGAGGCAGACTGACCACCTCTCGAATGTTCTAGAACCCTGGGACTTGCTAGCTACCTTTCAGGGCAGAAAAGTAAGCCAACAAACATGGCTTTCCCATGCTACCAAAGTGCCAAATGGGGAAAGTTAGACTATGAGGTCAGACAATTTAATATGCTTTGGGCAACCACTGTGTGCTGGGAACTTGATATCTTTTGTTTCACCTAACTGTGACAACTCGAGGCAGCAGGTTGTATAGCCCCACTTCACAGATGGGGAATCAGAGGCTCAGAGAAGAGAAGCAGAAGAAAGCTCATGGCCTGTGCCTGTTGATAATTGGCCAGAGGGACAGAACCTTCTGAAAAGCATTGGACACATGATACTCAAGAATGCCCTACTAGTGGAGCAGGCATCGGGATGAAGAGAGACTCTAAACATGGAGCTGTGGTTATTAGACTCAGTCTTGAGGTCCTGAAGGGCAGTGATGTTACCTTGCCCAGTTCTGTGTGCCCAGCGTCTAGTAAAGCTCCTGAAAAGCAGCCTCAGCACCTACCAACTTGCACAACTGGAGGGGGCTCCACCAACACAGAATAAAGTGTGACAGGTGCCCCCAACACCATGGAACCCAGGTCGTGTGTGCCGTATATTCCTGTGGTGCTGGCCGAGTGAATGCTTCTATAACTGAGGTCGCCACGGCCAGATCTGGACCCACAGTCACCCCCTAACCATGACCACCCACCCTTCAGCAGAGAGCAGAGAAAGAATAAGCTTTAAAACCAGCCAAAATCCAGCTCCAGCCCTCCAGCCTTGGCAAATGTTTGACCTCCCTGAGCTTCAGTCCCTCCAGGTGTAAGACAGGAGCAGTACTTTTCGGGGGAGTGTTATGAACACTGGAAACCATGCCACTGGGACAGTTCCTTGCACGCAGTAGAGACAGGCCTTGCTTAATTCCCTTCCTTAGCTGTTGAGCCTCAGGAAGTTTCAACAGTGGTCTGTGTGACACGGCATAGGGAGGTGAGGCTACTGCTACAGCAAAAACAAATTTTGAGCTATCTCTGCCTTCTGGAGCCAAGCGACAATTGCCCTTGGATCATCTGCCATTTGAAATTCTCCACTGCTTTACCCCAGGATACGTGTGTTTGGGCGGGGGGAGGTGCAGGCAGGGGCAGGAGAGGAGGCGTATTTGCAAGACCTGCACTTGCTGAAGTAAATTCTCATTAGATTTGCTCTAAGTAAGCTTTTTTAAAAAACGAAAAAAGTCCTAGAGAACTGCTTGGATGTCTAGGTGACAACGTGACAGCAGAGGTTAAATGAGGCCTGGCTGTGAAGCGAACCGCGGGACCCAAACAGCAAAATGCTGGGATGTTACTGTGCTTCAGAATAGTCCTTATGGCCTCTATGCTAGGCCATCCCTGTGATTTGCTCATGAAAACCCTGTTACCTTTTACCCTTCTTTTCTCAGACCAGTGGTGTTTCGTCTATTCCCTATGGCTGTATCACCGTGAGTTTCTAATAAACGCTGGGTAGAGGAAGTCTAGTGTCTGTGGTCCTGAATTTTCTAAATGGGTGTCTATATGAAGTAGACTGATTAACCTACAGGATGCCCTGGAGGGACTTGGTCTCAACTGTGTCTGCCCCAACTGTCCAAAAACCTCAGCCTCTAAAGATGGAAAGAGCACTGAAGACATGACAAAGCCTGTATCTCACCATTTGGGCAGAATTTTTTTCAAGACATGTGACCCTGAGCAATTCACTACCTCCCCATAGAGTCACACGTATTGAAGGAGATAATGTATGCAAATTGCCCGGCCTACACCTAGCACACAGACCTGCTCCATCGGGGAAAACTGGTTTTCTCTTTTACTCTTACACAGTATTTCCTTTTACCATATTCAATGGGCCAAATTATTGTGCACACTTTCCAGGTATAGACGCCTTATAAGCAAACATTTAGCTTACTGACTGTGTGATCCTAGAGGGCAGAGACCAGGAGCTCCAAGTTTCTACTCTTCATTCTCTTGCCTCCCCTTACTGCTTACCATAACCCAACCAGGTTGGCATTACTATGCCCATTGTACAGATGAGACACTGAGACTCAGAGTAGTAAGTGTACTCCCCTAAGGACTAACAGCTAGTGAGGGGCTGAATCAGGACTAGAACCCAGTACACAACCTGCAGGGCACAGTTAAAGCAAACAACCCACAGAATTCCCTGTAGTGTGTGTAGCCTGGCTCCCCAGCAAGTCTAGTAGTCACCCCAAGCTAGGCTAGGGCCAAGGTCGTCTTCTTCCTTGTCCCCAGCACGGAGCCCAGATTCACCATCAAATGGGCACCTGGTGCCCCCATATGAACGTCTGGAAAGCCCAGCAGCGTTCTGCCTTCTTCTAGTCGTCCCAGCTCATCACCGCCTTCTGGGGATGAGAATAAAGGGGGACGCATCTGCACAAGCAGCAGCGCTGCCGCACAGGTCGCGCCACCAGGAAAGTTTGCTAAGTGCTCACTGACTCCTCAGAGGAATTTCCCAAAATCAGTAAGAGAAACATAAACGGGGTTTGATATTCTAACTGGGATCAGAAATTGGACAGCTTGGAGCTGGTCGGAGAACTGGATGACTCTGAAAACAAACGCTTGCCTTTCTGCTCCCCCTCTTCTCACTCCCTCTCTTGTGAGAGCCTTTCAGCTCTGGTTCCAGCACTCCTTAGCAACAAAGGCGGGGTTCCCAGAGCCGGTGCCTCTGGAATGCCAGCCGTTCCCCTCATTAGTGTTCAGGGCCCCTCATCCGCCTGCACAGTTGGCCACAGGACTATGCAAAAGGCAAAGTGGCTTGGGGGAGGCCCAGCATTCAGTGTGGCTTGTTGGGACATGGGAAGCCTCCACAAAGAGTTTCCAAACAAAAGGCATCAATATTATTTGTGGAGCCATCAGCCTTCCGGGGACACAATATGGCCCTGGCTCAGCTGCAAGCCCCCTCCCCAGGTTCTGTGTGACAGCATGGTGGAATCTCCCCAGACATGTCTCGGCTCTGATGCCAGCACGTTGGAAAGTCTCCCTCTTCCTCCCGCTCTGTGCTGTCCAGTCTCTCCTCAGACTCAGTTTATCCAGGTCTGGCAATGGGTGGACTCTAAGTGGCAGAGAGAGTGCCCAGGGGAGGTGGGGTGACAGAGGGTAAGTGGTCAGATGGTGGGACATTCATGAACAGATGGTGCTGCTGGGAATGGATTCCAGACAAATGCACAAGCAGACTGAGCTCTGACAAAGACCTGTCTGGTGGAGAGCAACTGGCGCCTCGTATGAAGCCCCTGCTCAAAGCACACATCCTGCTCTCCCACACAGTCTTCCACAGTTCCATGAGCTACTGTCTCTTTGGAATTCCAAAACTTTCATCAGTAGGCAAGTCCCGGGGAAAGTCCAGCCAGCAAAGCTGCTTCTCCACGTTCTTGTAGAACCAGCCCTAAGCAGAGTTCCCTTCAGCCTCCTCATATGTGAACACCTTCAGGGACGTGGATCACTACTTGTTATCTTTTGCTCCCCAGACAGCTCCAATTTGTTCTTCTAAAATTGGTTACACTTTTAATCCCTTTTCTGTCCTGCCTTGGGGCCAAAGAGAATGTAAAGTTTGCTCAGTCTTTACAACAACAACTGAACCATTGCTGTGCCTGGCCTTCTAGGCATCAGGGACTAAGAAGAAGAGGAAGAGAAGGAGAACAAGGAGAAGAAGGACGTGGAGGAGGAGGAGGGGGATGAAGGAGATGGGGAGGGGGAGGGGAGAGGGAGGAGGAAGAAAGGGGAGAGGAGGGGGACGAAGGGGACATGGAGGGGGAGGGGGGAGGAGGAGGAGGTGGAGGTGGATGAAGGGGATGTGGAGGAGGTGGAGGGGAGGGGGAGGAGAGGAGGTGGACAAAGAGGATGTGGAGGAAGAGGAGGGTGTGGAGGGGAGGAGAGGAAGAAGAGGGAGGGGGAAGAGAAGGAAGAAAAAAACTTTGCTTCTTTCCTTGGTAACTGACTCAGGTTGGGGAGGGGCTCTGGAAGGAGGAGAAAACCGGGGGAAACAGATG